TTTTTTTTTTTTTGAAAAATAAAGTTGCATATATATCTCTTAGTGAAATTTTGAGTTTATGATTTATTGTAGGGTTGGGCAAAATGTCTGAACCGTACCAAACAGGTTTTCCTAAATTAAAAACCCGAACGGGTATCTGAATCGAGAACTGATGGGTTTGGTTCGATTCTAGATTCTAGACCAAGAACCGAAATTTTTTCAGATAAATCAATTTATTTTAACCCGTTTAATTTTGGGCTGGTTTATAGTTTGGCTTTTGTTTCCTATTGGACTTAGTTTAGATTGTGTTTGGTTTCAGTCTTGAGCTAGACTTTAGTTGCTATTTCAGCCACTCATGATGGGTTTAGATTACGTTTTGAGTTGGGTTTTAATTTGGGTTACAGTTGTCCCCATATATATACTCTTTAACCCCCACTCACAAAAGCTCAAACTGAGTCCGACCAAAGAGGAAACCTAAATTGAAATTGAAAATATACACACATAAAAGAGGAACGCCGTCGAGTCCGACCATGCAGTCGAGTCTGACCAAGACCACGGATATACAAACCATTTGAAGTTCGAAAGAGGTAACTTGTAATTTGGAGTTGGTGAGTTGGTAGTCTTTAAAATATAGCTGGTAAGTATTATCAATACTTTAAAATATTACTTTTATTTGTAAAAGTTAATATTGAACTTGGTATTTGTATCTGCTTTTTGTTTTTAGTATTAGTTTCTACTTTCATGTGTATTTATGCAGTGTTATTCTAAATGTTAAAAAAATTAATTATAGTACGGAATCAAACAGAACCGAACTCGAACGGTTCCAAAATTATATTTGGAACCGACGGTTCCATTTATTAAATACCCGAAAATTTTTGGAACCGAACCGACCCGCGCCCACCCCTAATTTATTGTATGAAATTTTTTACTTATAAATGATATTTTACTTCTATATAATTTTTTTTAATTAAAATTTTATGTTAGTATTTCTTAGTTATATATAAACTTTATAATTATAAGTTATTTTTGTACTTTTAAATATTTTTTACACATAAGGGATTTTTTTATTTATAAGTAACTTTTTAATATTTTGTAAGTGAATTTTTTGTCTTATTAGTAAGATTTTTACACAAATAAATTTTTATTTTACTTATAAGTAATTTTTAATTGTAATATAAATTTTTTTGTTAGTATATTTTTATTTATAAGTTAGTATTAAACAAAAATATGTTTGTTGAAAATAATTATTTTATAAAGCGTAAAATTAGAAGATAATTTGAGAAACGGCCAAAAACTACCGATTTTGTGGGTTGAGAGAATCTATCAAAATTACACTACACTGTTTTAGGATAGTTTTTAAACCATCCAAAATCGGTTGCCAAAAAATCCAGCAAGAATTCTTCCAACGCCTCATAAACGATACCGATCAAAATCGGTGAAAATAAAACTCTCAATCAAGCCCTAAGGAAGGTTTTGGACATGACAATAGGCTGAGAGTGGAATTGTTGGAGTCTTTTTGTCATTTTGAAAAATCATTGAAACGAGGTGATTAACACCCTTCACATTTTTTCTCGAAAATAATGCTATTTAGTATCAGTGATGCTAAAATTACCACACATGATAGCTTCAATTAAATGAATTTGTATTTAACCATTTAAATGAAGTTCTTGGTAGCTCGATTTCAATGATTTTATCGAAATGACAAAAAGATCCCTAAAAGTTTCACATTCTTCCTCAATAATAATATGATATCTAGATTCTTTCTGAAACTTCTTTTATCCCTAATCAATGCTGTAACACCCCAAAAATTTTAGAATAAAAATTTATTTGTTCTATATATTATGTTTTATTATTTTGAAAGTTGAGGGATTAAAGTGATATGTGTATTAACTTCAATTTTGGGCTAAATTTTTAGATATTGTTAAAACGACTAAAAATATATCAATATGAGTCTCGTTGGATAGCTCGTAATTGATCATGTAAATTAGGCTCGAGAAAAAGTTAATTCGGATAAGTTAGTCTCAAGATATTGAAATTCAAAGAAATTCTAATTTTTTTTTTTTTAAATCAATGTAAATTGGAATAAGGATAGACACGTGAATGAATGTGGGATAATAATAATAATTATTATTATTTTGAATCCTATTTAAAGTCAAGTTGCCATCACTATCGCGTATTAAGATTAGAATCACCTTTTTGTTGTGATAAATATTTTGTACACATGTTATCTTGTGATTGGTTTACTAGAAATTCAATTTTTATCAAATGGATAGACACGATTTCTCATCACAATTATACCGTGACTCAACTAATATTTTTTTTACTATAAATAGTATGTCAATGTCCCGCAATTTACTACCACGGAATTTTACACAGCAGTTTTCATATAAAGCAATTGTAAATTCTAAATATATTTTTATTATCAAAAACTCATTTGATCAATCAAGGTAATATACTTTTTGTGCAAATTGTTTGTTTCCTTATACTTTTATATTCAGTAATTTATGTATGAATTTCCAGTGGACCTTCGGATTCGACCTAACGAAATGTGAACTTTTTTTGGTTCTTTATAATTGTCTATGTTATTATTATATAATTGCGTATGGAAACTGCACACATCTTATTGGGTGTTTTTAAAATACTCACCTACAAATTTTTACAGGCTAGATCGGATCGATTGGAGCGTGGCGGGATGGAGCAGCGAACTGTCAAGGAATTTGGACATACGAAAATATTAAGTTTTATTGCCTTTAATTCGGTAGTTTGTTTTGTTCAATAACATTAATATTGAATTTATTAGTTGAGAATGTTTAAATTTTTTTTTTTAAAACACGATTTTATGATTCAAATTTAACTTGTGGATGTTCCAATATTTTGTTTACTAAATAATTTTATCGTTCTGCATTTTAAGTAAATAAAAGTAAATGAAATTAATTTTTGGTAACACTTCAAAATGTATGAAATTTTGGGACGTTACAAATGCTTAACATAAGTAGGGGAAATTTTGGTCTGTTTGCTAAACATTTGTTATAAAGGTTTAATATGTAGTATTTGTTTGGTAGATGTTAAAATCAAAATTTTAGTAAATTTTGATAAAAATTGATAAAATATTTAGTTAAAAAGTTGTGTGGCCCATGAAATATGTGATTCAAATTAATTGTTAACTTTGATTTAGATTAAAATCTAAAATTTTGATAAAAATTGATAAAATGTGTAGTCCATGAAATATGTGATTCAAATTAATTGTTAACTTTGATTTAAATTAAAATTTAGATTTTAATCCCTGACAACACATGAGCTTAATATGAGAAACACATTTGATCAAACAGAATAAACTTTTTATCTTTTAATATATTTGATAGTTGAGTGCTTGTGTCATTGAGAGTCCACCATTGTTTCTATAATAAAAAGAAAAACAAGAAGAAGAAGAAGGATATGTTAAATTTTGTGAATACGAATAATCATGTCCATACATTGACCATCTCCTATGTAGGTTGGTGGGTGTCACTGGACGACTAGGAGTATAGGATGACAACGGTTCGGTCATTTTTACTCATGTCCCGTCGAATATTTTTGTTACCTTACTCCATCTCTATACCCGGTTAAAGCGGGATGGGTGAGGTGACCTGCCCTTTTTTATTTTTATATTTTTAGTTAGTAAATATTATTACATTTTTTCAATTTGTTAAGAATGACTTATGTTCTCTTTAAAAATAATGATAATTTTTTTTTCTCTTTTTTTTTTAATAAAAAACTTAAATTTAAAATGGACTTTAAACAGACAGGTAAAGGGGGATTATGTTCCCCGTACATGTCTCATCCTCGCTTCGAGTCAAAGACCCCTCCCCTCCCTACCCCGTTTACCCAATTAGAAACATAATCTCCATCCAGTTCGAGGCAAGTCCTGTGAGTATTAATTTTAATGATTTTTTTGCCATCGGTGGGGAGAAATGAAAAGAAATGCAAATTCAAAAACTTAATTCCCGTTTCCACACTTCACACCCCATTTATTGCCATATCCAACAATACGCTAACACTTCCTCAATTAAATCAAAACCCGTGCATCGCACGAACATAAACTAGTAAAAAGAAAAACAAGAAGAAGAAGGAAGTGTTAAATTTTGTGAATACGTATCATCCTGTCCATAAATTGACCATCTCCTATGTAGGTTGGTGGGTGTCACTGGACGACTAGGAGTATAGGATGACAGCATATCGGTCATTTTTAATCATGCCCCGTCGAACATTTTTATTACCTTACTCCATCTCTATACCCGGTTAAAGCGGGATGGGTGAGGCGACCTGCCCTATTTATTTTTTATATTTTTAGTTAGTAAATATTATTACTTTTTTTTCAATTTGTTAAGAATGACTTATGTTATCTTTAAAAATAATGATAATTTTTTTTTCTCTTTTTATTTGATAAAAAACTTAAATTTAAAATTAAGGGGACTATATTTTCCGTACCTGCTTCGGGACAATGACCTACGTTGGTTCCATCCTATACAAGTCCATTACATGTAATTTTTGCATTCAGATCATCTCCACTTTGGTCCACATTACATCTCTTATTCGCTTAACCTCTCTTACATTGAAAAAAGTAGATATGATTTGGAAAATCTGACGACATAGATTTCTACAGATGAAGAGAAGTATCAACATCACTCGTTTCGAAACTATCAGGCTCCCTCGTCTCAGTTGAATGCAGTGAACGACTCTTCATGGCTTGGAAATCTCCGTGCTTGCCGAGTCCAAGATGGAGGGGATTTTGAACGGGCACTTGTGACGATGGGCACTGCCTTTTGTGAGGGAAGGAAATCTTAGGTAGCTGATGACAAGTCTCGGTCGAAGTCATCATCCATTTGGGCTCGGACAAGAGTTTTACCACTTCTCTTTCTTCTCTCTTCTCCCTTAATCTTTCCAACTGCCTAAATCTTTCTTGCAGAAGTGCAATTGATGAACCTGCAACGCTTGGATCATTATTTTGGCTTCCCATGGAAAAAGTGGTATTGTGTGATCACAAGTTCAATGATGGGTAAATATTATTGAACTTTGGAAGTTTCAAGGGGATTTGTGTGAAGATATATAGAGAAGAGTGGACTAATGTGGACCAAAATCCAAGAGGAAAATGTTGTTAAGGAAGCCCCGTTCTTGATGACGCCAGGCAAAATACTAAGCAGAAAAGGCCAAATGGAAATGGAGATAGTAATTGGAGTAATGTGTCGAAAGTATTCAAAGGAATACAAGGTCATGGTAAATTTCAACCCCAGAATCTGAATTGAGACCGTAAACTTTAATTTATCTCAATTGAGCTATCGAACTTTAATTTAGTATCAAATTTGACCACTTGTCACGTTTTGTTGCACATCGTCTCCATACTTGTGAAATTGCCTAGTTAGTAAGGTTATAATTGATCTTCCGCACAATCATTGTGACACCTTATAAACGAAAAAAATGGTAAATTAAGAGTTATGGTAAATCTTTAGATTAAAAGTTAAAAATACGTGTTTTTTTTAACACTTTTATGATGTGGTATAGTAGTAAGCCACTGTTTGTATCCATTTTTTCAAAATTCATTTTTTTTTACATACTCATTTTGAACCACACATTCACACAATAAAATATTATACATAGACCTAAAATTTTTTTCAACTTTTAAACCACACATTTTTCAACAAATCATTATTTAAAACAATATTTTTTCAAAAATGGCCACCAAATAGGGATGACATTGACAATTACGTCAAAGATATGGCTGCTAATATTTTGAAAATGGAAAATGACGGAGTGTCAAAACTTGAGACTAAACACAGTGACCCAGTTGAAATTAATATGAAGTTAAGTAACCCAATTGAGTTCTTTTCTAAAGGTTCACCGACTGCAGATAAAATTTACCCCAAGGCGTCAAGGTTAGGTGATAATTGCACTGGCTTGTCGTTAGCCGTCGATTGGATCTCATTGACCATACTAGTTTTGGTGTGTAATAATGAAGACTCTTATTTCTTTTGCCCCTTCCTGATACAAATTATAATCTAATTTTTTATCAAAATCAAAGTCAGCAATTAATTTTAATCATATATTTTACGAGTCCCACAATTCTTCGATCGCACATTTTATCAATTTTTATCAAAATCTACTAATAATCTGCTTTTAATATCCATCAAACAAGGGCTTAGTTTCATGTTTCTAACAATCAAGTTTTCTTGTTAATTATTTTTGGAGGGTTTAGTTGAATGGCCCGTTATTGATCTTTTCGATAGATTATTATATTTCTTAACATATTGTTAGTAACTAAAGAATCAATAACACATTACACTTGTATCATCTTTGAAATGTCATATTGCCATTTGCTAACACTATTCGATGTGGTGGATCTCAACTTATACACTATCCAACCTTTCGACTATTTGGCCTCATTCACCATATCAGATATCATCAGGTCATATACCCGAATCTACTCTTCATTCAAGTTAACTCCAGCATTTTTTTGAGCGAACATACATAACTGACATTATCAACTTCTTAAAATATACAATACAGTCTCTTTAAAACAAAAGAACCAAACTACAATATTACAAAATAAGGGTTTGGACAAACGAGAGGTTCTCCTTTGGACAAACGAGAGGTTCTCCAAAGAAGAACCAACAACACTTATACAAAATTCCAAGACATGAAGGAAACGATATGATCTTTCCTACTTACTGTTTTCCACGAGAAGAGAAATTAACACAAAATTAGGAGAGCATACGGGCAAATCTACATCAAGGCTCCAACTTCAATGAAACAACTCGCGACTGCCTGTTACATTTTGCAGCTTTGATGAATACTACTGAAAGACAACGTGGGGCCCACCATGGATGACGAACCTTTTGTTCCCCTTTCAAGCAAGCCACTAAGGAATTACTCAAAATCAGAAAGAGGGAAAAAAAAAGGCTGTCTAAATCCATCACAAAATATCAAAATCTAAACCGTGTACTTTAATGTACACTGTAGAGCAATAACATGGATAATGACTATGATCAAGATAATATTTACTGATTCCCAAACACTGATAGAGCAATGACATGATTAGTGTTCCTTCCATTCCAAATTGAATGACTTTGATTTCTTTCAGGCCTTCCATAAATAATGTCTGGTAACCAGAAGAGAACACTCTTATATAGGTTTAACTTTCAAATACCCCAGCTGCACTTGCACCACAATCATCTGAACAGACCATTTCTAGACTCTCTCTCCCTCCATCTCCTTGTCACTCTCTTTCTGTCCCTCTTTTAACTCAACTAAAAACACCACCTCAATCCTCTCAGACCACACCACCAACATAGTCCATCTTCCAGTCCCTACTTATTCCTATCTCTAATAAGACCTCTGGCATTTTATGCCATTCTGAAATGTCTTAAATCAGATCTTCAATCCAACACCAAAAATAATCTATCATGGTAGCACTTCTTTCTTATTTTCTTCTCTTTATTCTTGCAGCAATTTGTTGGATTTTAATATTGAACTCAATTATGTCTTTGAAATGGACAACAGTGGTTCGCATTTCTTTGTTTGGCTTCAATTTGAATGGGTTTACTTTTGCGGGTCTAGTGGCGGTTAGAGAGCCTGGCATTGGTAGCATCTTTTCTTTCTCTCTCTCTCTCTTTCTTTCTTTCTTTCCCTCTTTTTTCATGGAGGAGGTCATTTAGAAGTTGTTTTCAAGAGGCGGTGGTGGTATTTTGGGAATCCAGTGGTGGTACAGGTGTCCTCATTTTTCATGTACAATGATAGTTCAGTTTTCATACAAATTATACCCGAATGATGATGAAATCATTTTGGGCAGGGATAGGTGGTGGAAGTGAGTGATTTAGTTGCGAAATTGGGAAGTTTGGATATGGAAGCAAAAAGTGCAATGAAGATGTTTGCTTTTACTGGATAGAGCAATCGTGACATTTGTTTCTTGTGATTCAGAATTCTACTGGTGCAGCAAGGTGGTCTGTGGGTTGGGCAGCTGCAAGTCTTTGGGTTGGGTAGTAGAGGTGGTCCACAAGTGATGGAGTTATCAATTGGAGTTGCATAAGGTAAGCACGGGTTTAGAGAGATAAGGTTAGACCAACTTGGCAAAAGAGAGAAGTTCAAATTTACTGCAGTCAAAATATTTCATCTAAAATGTCATGCCACCTAAACTAGGACATCCAAATCCAAGTGGAGGAAGTAATAAAAAAGATAATTATGAGGACAATAGATCATAATAGTTAATAATGTCAAGAACAGCAACTAAAAAATTAAAAGAATCTTCACATAAAAAATGAACATCAAGCTTATTAGCTTCCACCAGAGTGTGAAGTATAGTTTGAAAAGTGAGAGACTAATCTGGCACTCTCAGCAAATTATTCTCCCAGAAAGCAAAGAGACGTGACAATAGAACACTTCTTTCTACCACTACTTAGTTATACACTAACATTGAATATGGACCATATCAGCAGGTACACAGCATTATGTAATTTTCAAATTTAGAGCGTGAAAGATCATACTTTCCCAGAAGGAAATGCCACAACAAAACTTTCTATGAAAATAAACTGTTTGGCAGCACATATGGTAGTTGTAGTAAAGCATATGCATATTACTAAATCTATATGATGAATGCCGTAAACGAAGTCCACAATTCAGGCGGGAGGTTGTGGATATATAAGAATAGGAATCCATAAAATAATCAATATAAAAATGTTTTTAAGCCATTGCTTGAACGAGAGTTATGTATGTATTATGGTTGTTTTATCTTTTAAATTTTTCTTAAAATAAAAAGGAGGTGAAACAAGTAAACTGTTTCACGGTTGTTCTATCATTCGAGTACTATTGCATGTCAATGTATGACAAATTATTCATAATTAAGGAAAAGTCTAGGAACTTCATCACCCAAAAATCCAATCATAGGACAAATGAGAGATTGTGTTGTGCATGCTAATACAAGAAATTGAAGATTTTAACGTGGGAATAATACAAACATTTGAATTTTCAGGTGACAACTAAGTAGTAAATGGTTGGACAAACTTGCACGAAAGAAGCGAAACATTGCATACTGTAGGACAAGAGAGTGATACCTTTTATTCGTCTCAGCTCCTTGCACAAAATTATAAAATCTCCCCATTTCATGTGACACTTCCTAATGAACCTGAGTATCTGTTCCGTTGTAAACATGGACATGCTTTCCAAATACTCTCCATTGACCCCATTTTCTTTGAAAATTTGGCGATAGCTCCCAAGATTTATCTCTTCCAACCACAAGCCAACATCCTACAAGCACGAGAAATCAAAGGTTGTTAACTGAAAAGGTACTTTTTCATTTTTTTTCTCCAGGTTGGCAAGGGATTGGGTGACCTTACTAACTAACTAAAACTCATCTACAGTCAATTATCTTAAAATCAAAAGAAGACTGAAACAATCTCCTCAATCAAATTACAGAACTTTCTTCTTCCCATATTTGTGAAATTACCAAATAACACAAGCAACTCAAAACAAAAACAAAAAGGATGAACAGAAATTGATAATATAGAATATGTGTACAAACCATTTATCTCCTTAAGGCATAAATTATTGACCTATCTGAGGTCCAACAAGAAGGCTTTCAACCATTTGTCATTGATGAAAGCCATAAGAGAGATAGAATCTAATATTAAAACTCCTTTTATGGGGGATTCTCATTTCTTTTTCTTTCTTCCCCTTTTTAGTGTGTCTCTGTGTGTGTCTATTGGATTGTTTATCGGGATGAGGTGAGGAGAGGTCATCTCTTGCAAAATATTTTCCTAAAACTTTCCACTTTCCTCGAATCTTCCCAGCCAAATCTACCAAGAATAACACCGTTTCAAAAAGTTAATTTGGTAAAAAATGAGCCCTCAACAGCAGGCAACCACAATGATTAATCTCAAAAAAAAAGGAGAAAGCACACTAAAACTGCACTATGACTGCAGGGAGATTTGAGCAAAGTTGCTTATGTAACTAGTTTGCCCTAACAAACAG